AAAAAAAAAAAAAAAAAAAGAGAAGAGGCATTCCACAAGCATAGTGAGGACTATTGGAAGACTATTTAAAATACGCTCCCCCAAGGGAGAAATTTCAAGTTAACTGGAAGCTTATATCCCAGCATTGTGATTGGAAAATCAAGCCAACTGATATAACCTTGATGGCTGGTGACCAAATCCAGCCAATGTAACTTAAATATGGGCTCTAATGAGGATGGCAAGTCACCATTCCAAGTGTCATGGTGGTCAGAGAGACTGCTGTTAGTGAATTCAGGACGCAGTTTAATACTGTGGACCTTCAAGATATATTATACAAAAAACAAAAGCTTTTTAAAAAACACTGGGAAAGGGACTCAATGAAAAACAGTCAAGAGAAGATTAACTTGTACATTTCTCAAGAGAGAGAAACCTTGCAAAACATAAGGTTCCAATGTGGAGGTGCTGTTGTTCAGAAGATGGTGGCTTAACAAAGGAAAAAAAATCTTCCTTTTTGTGAATCCTCAACATGTGTTTCTAATGCCTGTGAGTCACCTGTAGAGAAATTCATAGTCGCCTTGCACCATTCATAAGCACCCCAAAGAACGTAATGTGCAATAATGATAAATTCTGCGTGTGGTTCCTGCATATGAAAAGCATTTGTCGGGTTTCTCACCACTTTGCAAACCTCTGGTTTGGAATAGTGTGAATCCTTGGACAGAAGCCATCCCCAGATCCACTACACTCCCCCACGCTCCGCGCCCCCCCCCCCCCCCCATTTTTCTCTTTTGTAGGTTCTCTGGTGTAGCATTAGCGGTCACTCATGACTGAAGGTCCTCAACTCCACACTTCCTACCGCTGTTTGGACGGGCCGATATCCGGGGACGGATGACCTAGAGCTCGGTATTCCCACAATCATTTCTGTCATTCCTCTCTAAGGGTGCGGGAAGGCTTGCGTATGCGTATATTTGTATTGTTTCCATTAGGAATGGTGGGGTCAAGTCTGGTAAGGGATGAGCTATGACTTAAGGCTTTTCCAGGTCCGAGCAAATGTGAGGCGGGCCTACCCAGTATGAGTTCTCTGGTGCTTGGTGAGGGATGAGCTGTGTGTGAAGGCCTTCCCGCAGTCCCTGCACTCATATGGCTTCTCTCCCGTGTGGATCCGCCGGTGCTGCGTGAGGTGGGTGCTCTGCCTGAACGATTTCCCACAGTCCTGACACTCGTAGGGCTTCTCCCCAGTGTGCGTGCGCTCGTGCTGGCTGAGCGATGAGCTGTGGCTGAAGGATTTGCCGCACTCCTTGCAGCCGTAGGGCTTCTCCTTGGTGTGGATCCTCTGGTGTTCCACGAGAAGGGAGCTCTGGCTGAAGGCCCTGCCGCACGCGTTACACTCGTACGGCCGCTCGCCCGTGTGCGTCCTCCGGTGCTGCACGAGCGGGGCCAGCTGGCTGAAGGCCCGGCCGCACTCGCGGCACTCGTAGGGCTTCTCGCCCGTGTGGATGCGCTGGTGCTTGGTCAGGGACGAGCTGTGGCCGAAGGCCTTGCCGCAGTCGCCGCACTCGTACGGCCTCTCCCCGGTGTGGACCCTCTGGTGCTGGGTGAGGTGCGTGCTCTGGCGGAAGGCCCTGCCGCACTGGCCGCACTCGTACGGCTTCTCCCCGGTGTGCGTGCGCTCGTGCTGGCTGAGGGACGAGCTGTGGCTGAAGGTCTTCCCGCACTCGTTGCAGCCGTAGGGCCGCTCGCCCGTGTGGATCCTGCGGTGCTCGGTGAGCAGCGTGCTCTGGCTGAAGGCCTTGCCGCAGTCGCCGCACTCGTACGGCCGCTCGCCCGTGTGCGTCCTCCGGTGCTGCACGAGCGGCGTGATCTGCGTGAAGGCCTTGCCGCACTCGCGGCACTCGTAGGGCTTCTCGCCCGTGTGGATGCGCTGGTGCTTGGTCAGGGACGAGCTGTGGCCGAAGGCCTTGCCGCAGTCCCCGCAGCGGTACGGCCTCTCCCCGGTGTGGACCCGCACGTGCTGGCTGAGGTGGATGCTCTGGCGGAAGGCCTTGCCGCACTCGCCGCACTCGTACGGCTTCTCCCCGGTGTGCGTGCGCTCGTGCTGGCTGAAGGACGAGCGGAAGCTGAAGGCCTTGCCGCACTCGCCGCACTCGTACGGCTTCTCGCCCGTGTGGGTCCTCTGGTGCTGGACCAGCGGGGCGATCTGGTTGAAGGTCTTCCCACACTGGGGGCACCGGTAAGGTTTCTCGCCGGTGTGGATCCTCTGGTGTTTGGTGAGCGCCGAGCTGTTTCGGAAGCCTTTCCCGCATTCGGGACACTCGTAAGGCCTCTCTCCCGTGTGCGTTCGGTGGTGCTCGAGGAGTGCCGAGCTGTGACCGAAGGCCTTGCCGCACGCCTGACATTCGTAGCGCTTCGCTTTTGCGTGTGTTTTCTGCTCGGCGTGGAGCCCTGGGTCTGGCTTCCCCCTCCCCCCGCGCGTCCCCGGCATGTGGAGGCCTTGCCTTTCTGGGGTCATTGGCTGAGTTGGGAAGCGGGGGCTCAGACTGAAGTTTCCCCCAAACCCATCCCCCTGCTGCTGCTGCTGCTGCTGCTGCATGGGTGTCTTCACCACATGGCTCTCCCGACTCTGTCCGTGGCAGCCCTCTGCATCGTCACCCTCTGAGTACCACAGACTATCCCACAGGAACCTTTCTGCCAGGGCACTGGTACGTATTCCTTCAGTGATGTCTTGAGTTGGGGTGGACACTTTGGTTTGGGGTCTGGTTTCCAAATCTGGAAGAAAAAAAACCCCGGAAATGTCCCTTAATTTCTGTTTGGGGGGAAGGGTTTGGGTTGGGTGGGTGGACGGATGGAAGGATAAAACTGATGGTTTTGGGGGCGCCTCAGTCAGTTGTGTCCGACTTCGGCTCAGGTCATGATCTCACGGCTGGTGAGTTTGAGCCCGCGTGGGGCTCTGTGCTGACAGCTCAGAGCCTGGAGCCTGCTTCAGATTCTGTGTCTCCCTCTCTCTCTGCCCCTATCCCGCTCATGCTCTGTCTCTCTCTCTCAAAAAAAAAAAAAAAAAAAAAAACATTAAAAAAAAACTGATGGTTTTGAAAGGCTCAAGGCACAAGTGACTTTAACCATTTAAAAAATACAGTTTTGCAAATCAGGGAAGGAACGCAAGCAGGAGAGGAAGCTCTGAGAGTGGTCAGGGATGGGGTAGCTGGCGCAGGGGCCTGAGTGGGGCTTGCAAGGGGAACACAGAGCACGAGACAGGGAGGCAATGCGAGGCAGACAGAGGGCATCCAGGGAAGCTGTGGACAGACGCCCCAGGCTGGAAGGAGCAGAGCGACGGCCAGGCCCCAGTGAAAGCAGCCTCCATGGCACCAGGTGGCAACGGAGGAAGAGCCGTCTCACAGGTGAAGGACCACCCGGCCCAGCTCTCCCTCTGCCCCAGCTCTCCCACTGACAAGGTCCGCTTTCTGCTTGGCGGTCTCTGGCTGCTGTTCCACCTGCCCCTGATGTGAAGAAACGCATCAGCTCCCCCAGACTGGAGGCCGCTGAGAGGCGCATCGCCGGAGGATGGATAGATGACCTGAGCTGTCTGGGAGGACTTGGATCTGGTCTGCTGGGTCCATCTCACCATCTGAGAGTTCCCGGAGGGCAGGGCTTCTGTCCACCTGGGTCACCCCTGCACCCACGCCTTCAGCTGAGGCCAGCAGACATGGGGGACGAACAAACAAACGTACCCCGCCCCGCTCCTTCCTGGCAGGACTTCCTGCCCCGGTACCCAGCCCCTCCTGCACAGCCGAACCCTTGCGCATGCCGCCCCCACCCCAACACCGGACTGGCCCTAAGGTGTGATATGGGCACTGTGCCCATTTAGGTTATGCTCCAGTGAGGTGTTAAGGGAAAAAAAAAAAAAAAAAAAAAAGAGGGGTCAAGCCAGGTGTGGCTGGCAAAATAGCAGCTCCCAAAGATGTCTGTGTTCTAATTCCTGGAACTGGTGAGGAATAGAGGCTGCTAACCCTTGCACATTAGCTAGTCCTCTGAGATTACCCCGGGTGGTCCCAAGGCAACCACAAGGGTTCTGGAATGTGCGAGAGAGGCAGGAGGGCCAGGGCCAGAGGGATCTAAGACCTGAGGGCCGTGCTCAGTTGGTAGACGGAAGAGGCCATGCTCAGTTGGGAGACGGACGGACAAGGAATGTGAGCACCTCTGGAAGCTGGAAAGTGAAAGGAGCTGGGTTCTCTGCAGGCCCCACGGGAGGAGCGCTGCCCTGCTCACACATGGAATGTAGCACAGAGATGCCCACTTCGGACTTCTGACCTCTGGACTGTAAGATAATGTGCGTTGCTTTAAGCCATGAGGTTTGTGGCAATTTGTTAGAGGAGCCATACGAAGCTAATATTCTAGGTAAGGGCTGGTTACCCCTTTTGCTGGGGAGACTCTGTCCTGACCCCCTCCCACATGCCGGCCATTCTTTCTGGGCCCTGGCGATGGGCCGTTGCTTAAACAGGGTCAGGGCCTGACACCAGGGGAGACTGCCTGCCAGTGGGCAGGATGGCCTCACTGCCCAAAGAGTCGGTATTGGTCTCAGGAGCTGGATAAGGTGTATGAAGAGCAGAGCCCCACAGGCACATGGAAAAGCCCAGACTGGATCCATGGGCCCACAGGTCCTCCCCACAACCCTGGTCTCTGCCTCATGACCTGCTTCACTTCCTCAGCACTCATCATGTGCCGTGAGCATCTTGTGCAGTTATTGCTCTACGTATCGTGTGCCCCTTCCCTCACCAAGAACGTAAATTCAGTGAAGATGAGGGCTTGGTCTCAGCCACAGCAGAACAGGTGCTTGGTGCACATTTCCTTTTTTTTTTTTTTAATTTTTTTTTTT